GTTTCTTCGTGATATGTACATAGCAATCACTACTCCATATTAGTTAAAAGTTCTGCGGTGGCTTTGATAATCTACCCAACAGGGGAATGGCTCAAAGTAAATCCGAGACAGTGGTGTATGAGGCAAGGTAGATGGCAGCAAGGTAGTTGTGTGGTTGGATTTTGATTCCGTAATTAGTTTAGTAGTTTGAGCTTTCGTAACAGTACATACCTTTAGGATCAAGACTGGATCTTTTTTTGGACCCATAAACCATACTTTAAAACCTTGACAGAACGCCTTACTTACTAAACAGGGATCCTCTTATGCCCATCCTCCTTCATTGACCACTTGACTCCACAATCTATTCAATTGCGTCTCTTTTGTTTGTCACCATATTTGCTATACTTCGCTCTCTTTTCTCTCTTTTCTTTGTCAGAGTGGATGAGTAGAGTTCCTGAGAGGAAAGAAAGAGATGAGTATTTTCAGAATATTAATTTCAAAGGAATTATTCTAACAAATCAAGCCCTTTTCATCTAATTTGTTTTTGTATAATTTTTATGAATTCAATTCTATTTAAAATTTAAATTAATATTTAAAAAAATAAAGATAAAAATTGATTTAATCATGTAAATTGAATTCAAGTCATAAAAAAATTCTAAATACTCACTTATTTTAAAATATTATTTTACAATTAGATAATATTACTTCCATGGAAAAAAAAATATATCTTGTTTTAGAATTGAAAAAACATAATATCCATTATATTCTCAATCTTCACTACTAAAAACCTCTTTGGTACTTTTTAATTTATAATTATTCTTAAAAAAAGAATTCACCCTAAGTTTTTAATCTTTCATAAATTATTGTTTTTTTATAAATAAATTCTCAATTAAGTTAATAAAAAATATAATATTTCAAAAGATATCGTATATGAGGTCTAATAAGTCACGCACTTAAAAAAAATTATAATGTTTTCAGATTATTTACCATGTAATGTTAAAAATATATTTTATTTTACTATATTTTTTATAAAAATATTTTTCTACGGTAATTCCACCCGAGTTTTTACAGAGACGCGTGCAGCCCACTTTAGCATATACCTCAGCACTGCACTGCATTGAACTTGGTATAGACATCTCCTTCCTATGTACGCTTTGTCCTTCTCTCCTGTCTCTTTGAAACTCCATAAATCAAAAATCAAAACCCACAGATCAAAATTCTCTCAAAGAGAAACTTTTCTCATTCTTTTGAGTTTTAAATAATACCCATTGAAGGAAAAAATCGTGGAGATTGCTGGATGCTCTTCTGGTTTCAGTTCCTCCTCTAATGATGTCTGGGCTAAACTTGGTATTTTCAACTTCTCTTTCTTTCTACAGTTTGTGTTCTTTCTTATGTTATGCTCTCTTTGTTTCCTAAGTAAATGACTCACGAAACTGTTTTTAGCGAAGTTTAGTGTTGAAACTGACATTTTATTGGAAGTTAAATTGAAATGAAATGAGCCCAGATGAGGAAATTTAGCAAAGAAAGAAACTATCCTGGGTTTGGGTTCTTAATTTTCATTGTTTCATTTTTTGGAACGCAACCTGTTAATGTATGTGTGCATCCATTTTTGTAGAGGGATTGTTACTGTGAGAAAGTACTTTTGTTGAATGTGAGTGAATCTAATTATAGTGAGAGTACATTGGAGTTGGAAAGCAGGAGACTTTTTTAACATAAATCACGAATGATGAACGTAAACCCTATTGGTTAATTCAATTTTACTCTTTTGTACTGAACATTGGCCTTTTCTTGCCTAACCAAGTATCAAATACTATACAGTTCCTGTGCCTATTTTGAATTGAGGGCCTGTAGAAGTCTGAACTGCCGATACCGGAGCCTTAGATATTTTCAATTCTATATGATAGTAGCTTCATTGTGCCTCTAATTTGTGTGACAATTCTGTTTGGTGCTGTTCGTGCTGAGAATCATATGCCCTGTTTACTTATTTGATCATTTGCAAAGTGACCGTGTAATCGAATTAACTGCAGTGTTTGACAGCAAGCTTTTCCTTGCTGGGATTTTGGATATCGATTTATTCTTCACTGTTGCAGTACCATCTGACTCAAGGGGTTACTTGTATTTCCTTGAACAGATCATTTTTTAGCTGTGCAATTCTTATCTCTTGTCTGAGAGGTCCGAAATCAATCTTGGGTACTAAGAGCTGTTAAATCAGTTCATCAATTTCTATTTTAAGGTTTTCTGAGTAAAGTTTTAAATAGGTTTTTCTTCTCTCAAAGTAAGGAAGTGGATGGTGCTTTTGTCCTTTAAAATCCAAAAATCTAGTTTCCAATTGTTGAAAGAAGATTCTTATGGGCATGATGGTGCTTTTAGCATTATTAGAGATCGAGGTTGAAACTTATTCTTCATTTGTCTAATATCATGGAGGAGTTGATTTATGTATAGAAATTGATATAATTAACTAGTAACCCTCCAGAAATCTAAGACATGAATTTCTATATTATCAACTGTCTTCCTAGACAATTGACTAAATCACAGGCAAAGGGTTGCCTTCTTGTGGGAGACAGAGCTGTATTTAGTTGATGAATCATATTGCTTATAACTCTTGACAAGTGCATGTATTTTCAATCTGAATGCTCTGATTTCTGAGTTGGGAACATGGAATGGCTTCATTTGCGAATGGTCCTTTTCATGGTGGAGGAGACTTAGGGACAAGGGAACGGTAAAGGTAAAGGAAAGGGAATTATTGCAATTTCTATAAGAGATCTCTTTAAGCCAAAATTAGTTTTTGTTAACTTTGGGCATTCACTTAGTGTACCCCTCTCTAATTGTTCATTGATGTTTCTACCGTCTACTGCTACAAACAATAATGTTGTTAGCTTAATCTACTGCTACTGTCTACCAACTTTGGCTTGCAGAATATTTTTCTCATTGCTTGTTTACACATTCAATTCTTTCATCTAGATTATTTAAGCATTTATTCTTACTTATTCTGATATGATCTGTGTGTGGACTTTAGTTGCATGATCCTTATTAACTCTTCTTTCATTGCCTTGCCTTAGTAGTTCATCTAAAACCATGATAATTCTTGAAGTATTTGTGATTTCTCCATATAACTGTATGATTTTCTTTTTGTCTTTTTTTTTTCTTTTTTTTGTGGTTGTCAAGTTTGTGAACATGTTAGGGTTTGTGAGCATAATATCTCTAGGATTCCATTTTTGGCACATGAAAAAATCAGCATGGAGAATGCACGAGCTTTTGCTTTCCAGAATGTTAATCAGTAGTGACTGTACAAAGTTTGATAAGATTGACTCACATTTTTTGTTTTATAGATCACTTAATCAGTAGTGAGTGTACAAAGTCTGATAAGATTGACTCACATTTTTTGTATTATAGATCACAGTAAGGTGTGTTGGACAGATAGGAAGAACATTGCGGGATGTTATCTCGGATTGGATTGGGAAATTAAACAACAGAGAAATTGGTGGGTTGGTTAATTCTTTATCCTCAACTTGATGGTTTTAAAAGTGAGTTTGTTAGGTCCCAAAATCAGTTACCCTCATGATATTTTCTCTCTGAGGGCATTTAACGATATATTTAAATGTATCATGGGGTAGTGTTAATTTTAAATGAAATTCTGAAATATTTTGGAATGTATCTTAGGACAACGGTGGGAAATGGGTAATGACGTGTTATCTATAATGCAGAAAGAAAGGGATCTTTTTATTGTTTTCAGGATGAAATGTCTCTAAAATTTGGATATTGGTAGGTTCTATTTCTCATTGTTAGGCTAAAATAATACAACAGTATTTCCTTTGAGAAGGCTTTGATTTTTATTTTATTTTTCTCAGATTGTCTCTGGAAGATAACACTTTGGTTTTAATTTGGGCAGTTTTTTAAATCTTGCTGCAGGTCGAACTAGGATGCCATTGAATCTTGCTGAGATGATAACTGTTGGAACACATGTTTGCAAGTAAGGATGGATCCTTTCATCTTGGATGTTAAATTATTTCATGAAGTAATATCCCTCCTTTTCATGGGTGTTGAAACAGACAATGATATTGTTAGTTTAGGGTGGATTCGTGTTTGTGTTTTATAAATCTTCCAAGAACTAATGAAGTTTTTGGAAACAATTTTATGCTGATATAAGATAGAGAACAGCTAAAACCACTGTCCGACAGGTAAACAACAGGTAAACAGCGGAGTAGTATAAACATTTATGGGAATTTGTAGTCCTCTTGAAAGTCACAGCTGCTCAGCTACCTTCTGTGGTTGTTACTTTGTTTCGATTCTAATCTGTCTGGAATTTGATTTTCTATGGCGTGACTATGCACAGGCTATGTCTGGCCTGAAGCTTCACAAATGCCTGCTCTAACTAGCCTTTAATTACTGTGTAATAACAAAACCTCTGCTGTCTTATAAGAGGTGGAATCAGTTACCTCTAAACATCACTGGTGATAGATCATTTGACAAGCTTTTAATTTATATAATATTTATGAACAATTTGTAAAGTGGATTCCTCTCTACGCCTTCTGGAAAAAATGTAAGGTTAATCATAAATGTTAAATGATATATTTTTTTTTAATTTCTCTGTTGTGTCCCTAATTGTTTGATGCTGTGATTGTCATGGCAAATTGATCTCCTTTCTGCTATACTGGTTTTGGATTTCAATGCCTAAATATGTACGTACAGTTGGTTTTAAGCAGTATAGAAGCTTGTCTAAGCAAGTGGTTCGATTTATGTTTTTCAATGTATGATTTTCAGAAACTATACTCGATTTTTCTATGAAGAGTGCGGTTCCATGTATGATCTGGATTTCATGAGTGCTTTAGCCTTGAAGCAAATTCTCGAGCAAGCCATGGCCCATTTTAAGGTATGGTCCCTCCATTCATGATGAAGAAAAGATTGAAAGTGGAATTGGATACCCTGTCTGAAAATGCACTATTCTTTTTTTTTTCGTGTGTAATTGATGAAGTTGGTTAGAACAATGAGTGGTGTAGGTGATAACTTTTGTGGTGTTTGTTTTCGAAGAAACTGTGTTTTGTGATTTTTTTTTAATTTTTTTTATTGGAAATTTTTTTTTGTGTTTTACATCGTTTTGATAGTTGGATATCAAAAATAATTTTTAAAAGATATAAAAAAAATATTATTTTCATACAAAATTAACTTTAAAAAATAACTATTATTACGTTCATTGATACTATATTCATCTTTTTCATAGTTGAGTGAGAAAGGACTAAGCATGAAGCAGCAATTCGTGCCAAATGCACTAATCATCCTTCGCCTTGGTGTTGGGTTAGGTTAACTTTAATAGCAAAAAATATTATTATTATTATTATTATTATTATTATTATCATCAAAAATAGTGATTCAGTTTTATTTTATTTTTATTCAAAGTGATTTGTTTTGGGTTTGACTCGGATTGGCTTAATAATCCAGTAATTTTGATCCTAAAATGAGTTAGATCCAAGATAAAGTTTGACAATTATGATTAACTATATAAAGGTTTATCTTAATTAATTATATAGAAGCAATCTGGTCCGACAAAAAAACTGATGCCGATTTATGAATTTAGAAAATCTTGTCGGAGATAATATCGTGTTATAGGGTATTTTAAAAAAAAAATGTTTTAAAATACATAAAAGTATTTTTTTTATTTTTAATATCAATACATAAAAATCAAAAAAAAATAACACTAAAACAGATCTAAAATCAGAAAATACAGTAGCTCTAAACAGTCGCACAATTTTTTTCGAGCTATCATCATTATTGATAATGGGAGTCTATGCCAGATGATGATGACCCTCGGTGATAAATTAATCAACCTATAAACATGATCCATTTCTAGGTTAATCTATTAATTAATTTGGCAATCTTCATCAGCTATATATATTTGTATAATTTACTTGTTGATTACTTTGAATTAGCCAGTACACGAAAGTTGCTTATCAAAGAATCACATGTTTCCAAATGGCAATTGTGAAACTTGTCTATTGGAAGTAGTTTGGAAATATAGTTAAAATCATGTTTTTATAAAATTTAATTTTTTTTATTTAAAATTGTTAATTTTATATATTTAGATTATTTTAATATGTTAATGTTAAAAAATAATTTTAAAAAAATTAATTATTTTTAAATAAAAAATATTTTATAAAAAAAACCCTATTAAATGATTTTTCATAAATGGAAACTGGGTTTTTCTGCCACAGCTTCTCTTCGTATATTATGCATATAATTACATAGTTGTAATCATTAAATCTTTTAACTTGAAAAATATGAAAAATAAATCTTAATTCAATTTAAATTTTAATTTAAACAAAAAAAATTAAGGATTGAACTGACTTGATTAACCTAATAATTTAAACTAAAAAAATATTAATTTAATTAAACTTGGTTAACATAATTAACCTAATAAAATATGGTCTAAATCTAATGGGATTAACACCCAAAAAAATTAAAAAGAAAAACAATAAAATAATATTATTTTAATAAAAATAATTGATTGAAGATGACCTCATAATGTAATACTTTAGATTTTTTTTAAATTAGTTCTCAATTATACATACAAGCACCTCGGTAATGGATTGTTGGACATGAATTCTTCCCTCTTTCGTGACCTCCAATTTCTTAAACATGTTTTGAATATTTTGTGTTGAATCAATTATTTTCGAGAACTTAAATTTTGAATCATGGAAGACAGACAGGACAAGAGATTATAAATAATAATAAATAATAAATAATTTTTTATTTAAAGAAAAGGGGTCCTTCGCCTCTCACATGTCCCTTTCAGAACTGAACATTGCTTAGACCATCCATTACTACCTCTCGACCTCAAATAGAACAATGTGACAAAGGGAGAAGAAAACGAAGGAGTTAGGTAAAGGGTATGGTACCATCTTTTCCTTCTAGAAGGCAAGTCCAATCCTCAAATTTACGCAGATGACACTACTCTCTTCTCTTCTATTATTTTTTTTATTTTTTTATATTAATATAGTATCTGAATATTAATTTTATAAATTCTAAAATTAATAATTATATAAATTTTTAATAATTATTATATAAACAATCAAAAACTCGAATATGAAACGAATGTTCCCGATTCAAGAAAATTACTACAATGTGATATAACCAACTTACTACGCCGTTTGTTTTCCCAATTTAAAAAATAAAAAAATTGAAAATATTAAATAAAAAATAATATAAAAAGCAATTATTACTACAGTATCGACCTAACTGTGATATAGTATTAATTCAAGAAACTAGGTAAGAGTTAAAAGTAACAGGTGAAAGAGACAACATTAAAAAGAGACAGGAAGCAGCAGAAGCAAGAATTTATGAGAAGAGACAGAGGGTAGTTGTCTACCTGACATAGCCCTTCTACCTGCCAAAAACAACATGTTCTTTTCCAACCTCTACACTCATGCTGATCTGCCAATGAGACCCTTCCTTGTAATATTCTCCTCTTTTGCATTTAGCCTTCCTTTTGTAGTGTTATTAAACCACGACAAGAGTTGATCGGGTGTAAATCTTTTAGTCTGAATTATATTTTAAAATTTTATTTAAAAATTTATATTATTAGATTGAATCACTTATTTAATATAAAATTATAATTTTATTTATCAAATAATTATAAATTTAAACCTCAAAAATTCTTATTTTGTTTATTAAAAATTAAATATAAAATAATACGAGTTTATCTAAATTTTAAACTCAAAGTGATTTTATTTAAAATAATATATTGAAAAATTATATAAATTATTAAATTGAAATAATTTTTTTATATTAATATAGATGATATAAGTTAATTTGTTTTTTTTATGAAATCAAAGTGATATTGTTGTTTTGACTGTCTATCGAGCAGATACAAATCAACTTGAGTTTTGTATCAAATTATATTAAATTAACTTTAAAATAATTTTTTAATCCAGCAAATAATAATTTATAGTTCGGGTTCCTTGTTTAGCCACGAGGTGCAAATTCTAGGGGGATAAAAAATAGCAATGCACTTGATCCGGGGTTGTTGGCATTAAAAGTCTCTATTCAACCTTAGGCCATAAGATCGTCCTGTTTTTTATACCATACAATTTCAAACAGGTTTATGGGAATCTTGTTCTCATTTCTGTCAATTTGGTGCTTCCACGGGTTGGGTGACTTTAAATTTAAAATCAAAAAAATATTAAAAAATTAATTAAAAATTCAAAAACAATATAATATTAAAGGATGAAATAAAAATATCTAAAAAAACCCAAAAACAATTACCAAAATTAACTCAAGTTGATCTTTTTAATATATTATTTATGAGACCGAGTTAACATAAAAAACAATTAAAGAATTATGAAGTAAAATTCCCAAAAAGTTTAATTTTCAATTAAGTTAATGTTAAAATATAAAAATATAAAAAATCAATTTTCAAAAAGAAGGACTAAAATAGATTGATTAAGTCAACTTAGATAAATTCACCAAACTCACTTACATAAAAAAATAAAAAAATATATTATATAGTTTAATTCTCAACTAACTCAATATTAAAAGATGAAATTGAAAAATAAATCAATTTAAAAAAATAAAAAAAATACTTGAATCAATCCATGTTAACTTTCAAAACCCGCAACTTGAGTTATGAAATTGTGATAATCATATTAAAAGTAAATAAAAAACTTAATTCTCAACTAATCAACTAATTATTGAATGATAATACCAAAAATAATAATTTAAAAAGAGTGTATAAAAAAAATAATTCAAATCAACCCGGATCAACCTTTAAAATCCGTAATATGAGATTATTTCATAGAAAAAAATAGCAATTACAAAGAATAAAATAAAAAAATTAATCAAGTTTTAAAAAAGAATACAAAAAAAATAACTACCAATTGTAGGAGAAAATTTACAAAGGAAGGCACCAAAATCAAGCTAATAATAGAGAAAAGAGAGATGAGGAGAGAAAGGATTCAGGCGCCATATCGCAACCCCAACACCTACACATGCAGCTTCAAATGGAAGAATCAACCGAGATGATTCAAGAAAGACCTCCTTTGGAGATCAAAGGAGGCCATACATGCCTCCACATGCAGCGACACTCCTCACATGATGGCATGTGAGTGTACACGCTGGCCATTCTTCTCGTGCCCCTTCGGTTTCATATTTACTCTTGTTTTAGTTTTAAATTTCATCACTCAAACCTTAATTATTTTAGATTAATATAATTGATTTTATTTCACAAAACAATGCCATAATTTTTTCTTGGCATCACCATACCTTTATATATAAATAAACAAAACAAAATGACAATTTTAATCCCAAATAAATCTAATTCAAAATAATCAAATAAAAAAAGTTGAATAATGAAAAAAAATGATGAACATTTTTCGTTATCCATCCAATTAATTTAGTCTCTAATGTCATAAAAAAATATACTTAATATTTGTTCAATCTTCAAATTTAATCTCCAAAACACTTTAATTATTTTAAATCAATAAAATCTTATTTTATGGAATTTTCCTCAATTTTGTGTGACCCTAAGCTAGGTAACAAAACAAGCCGTGAAGTTTAATTCCAAACTAAAATAAGGTAAAAAAAATAAATTTTAAAAAATCAATTAAAAGACTAAAATGAAAAAAAATTAAAAAAAAATATTTTAAAAATTTTAAAAACACTATGAAAACTAATACAATACACAATGTTTCTCTCTATTGCTATAGTGAATAGCCCATGATTATTTTTTTTTAATTGTAATTGTAATGTGTTCGTAATCTTGTCAAATATAATAGAATGACAATACAAGCAGTGTTTTCATTCAATGAAACATAAAACTTCAAGGACCAATATATCAATTTAGTAAAAATGAAATTCCAAGTAAAACCTCTAAGTAAATTACCATAAAATAAAATCATTAATTATCCGAGAAATTAAGTTCCTATTAAAACTACAAAGAAATTAATAAGAGCGAAAACTAAAGCCAAAACTCAGCATGGAACATTTTTCTAAAACTGTTGGGGTTAATTTTTCTTAAACCCTCCATGGTTTACATACATGTGAACTAGCCTTATCAAACTGATCCCCGGTCATCATCAAGCATCCAAAGGTCTGTAAAATCTATAAAGACTATCAGCTGTTACAAATTTTTCCACGGCATTACAACAACTACATGCTTGACTGTTCTTGAACCCTCGATTGTAAGAACACAAACATGCTGTTCTATGAACAACAGCAGGGGCACTGGAGGTAGGAGTAGCAGAGGTCCCAAACAACTGATATGTGACAACTTGTTCTTGATGCTGTTGGTTTGCTTGCTTTGAATCATTAAGATCATTGACAGAAGAAAGTTGAGATTGACATGGAAGACCAATAGAGAGCTCAAGATTGAGTTTATGATTTGGATACACTTCTAATTCTGCTGTCACGCCACTGCTACTATTGGAATCTTCAGCAGAGTCACTGCTGCCACCTACCTTGATAATACTTGAATCGCTAGCCTTCTTGACTATGTTGCTCATCATAAACTCTGGCTGGGCTTGAACAAATGAATAGTTTTGTTCTTCAAGTTTAAAGTTAGTAATCCTTTTGGTACCCATGTTGCTATTTTTATTGTTGGTGCTGTTTGTGGTGGTGGACGTGGTGGAGGAGGTGGTGGAGGAATTGAGTGGACGGTGAGTTTGAGGATCAATTCCACGGCTAAAGAGCTTTCTCTTGATATGAGTATTCCAATAATTCTTTATCTCATTGTCCGTTCTTCCTGGCAGCCTAGCAGCAATGAGAGACCACCTGGAAGATTTTCAAGAAATTAAAAAAAAAAATTAGAACCAAAACTCATCATAACCAGTTGAGATTTTGTTCTTGTGAAAAGAGATATTGCTCTAAAAGTTCATCAAAAGTTGAATATTGGAAACAAATACTGCTGCCAGTTTTTACAAAGCTAGCTTTTTGCTTTTATTGGAAGAAATAAAGCGAAAGCAAAGCACTCACTTGTTTCCAAGTAAGCTGTGAAGGTTGATGATGAGTTCATCTTCTTCGTCACTGAAGTTTCCTCTCTTGAGATCAGGCCTCAGGTAGTTTATCCACCTCAGTCTACAACTTTTGCCACATCTAAGCAAACCTAAAACAAAAGTCAATAAAAGATATGAAGGGTGATCTTCTTCTTCTTCTTCATGGCACATAGAGTGGGGAGAAAGGAGAGAAGAAAGAAAAAAAGTTACCAGCTGCCTTAGGGAGAGACCTCCAACAACCTTCACCATGAGATTTGATATAATTAATGAGACGTTCATCTTCTTCTTTAGTCCACGCACCTTTGTTGGTGTGTTCTTTCTCACAACAAGGAGATCTGCCCATGATCTTCTTCCTTTTCTTCTTCGTGTCCAAATCAAGAGAGAAGAGAAGTGACGAGGGGGCAAAAAAGAGGATGTGTTTGTGTTAGAAATGTGGGAAAAGTCGAATAAACTGCTGGGAGGCAAATGCAAGAGAAGGGAAGATATATATATAAATGGGAGGTGGTGAGAGAGGGAAGAGAGAGTAGGGCTGCAATGCAATTGACTTGGGACACTACACAATTATTTAATTTTCGTTTTCAAGTAATGGCATGGGATTTGACTAAGTTGGTGAGAAAGATGAGTGGTTACAATTAAGTTAGTGCTGGATTTGGTAGGTAGCTCTACTTTCCTTCCATTTATTGGAAGTCAATTGTCTTTCACCTCTTGAAATTTGTCTATCTCTTTTTAGTTTCATTTCTCTAATAGTGTAGTGTTTGTGCTTGTGATTGGATTTTTTTTTTAAATTGTTTTCTTAAAAAAATAGATTTTTTTATTGTTCTAATACAATATATATTATAGTTTATTTTAGTAGCATGGTGTGTTAATCTTGATTTTGTTTTTTGTTTTTAAATATATTACAAGATATGAATTGAAAAACATTCAAAATGAATGAAATCTCTTTAGTGTTAAAGTTAGGTTTTTTTCTTCTTTTATTTTCCTTCTTTGATTACATGGAGGCTGTATTCCTCTTTTGTTTTTGAAATTAGGAAATTAGCATGACAACCTACATCACATGACTTGGATTTTGAAGCAACCTTATTTAGCTATTTATTATTTTATCTATTTTTGTTTTTTAAGGGAAGTATATCATTTTTGTTTAAGCCATTTTATCATAACAATAAAATATTTTACTCATCAGCCTGAACAATTCTCTTTCAATAAAATAATTTTAACAAAAACAAAAATAAGGTAAACCTCAAAAAAGTATAAAATAAAATAAAATAAAATAAAATCCACATCGAGAAATTTAAAGAAGATAAGAACCCATCTCAATAGAGTTCAAAATTCATTAAGCCTTCCTTTCCCTCCCTACCAAGAAAAAACAAATCATAATGCCAACCTTACCAAACCCTTACCAGCATTTACTTCAGTTTTTATCCATTTTTACAAGGCTATTTAATTTTGCTTTGACATTACAAATGGACCTTGATGGTGGGGTATTGCCATATGAGGAAAAGCTGCATATTTTAGGAGTGAAGAAGGTAATATATATATATATATATATATATATATATATAGAAGCTGTGGAGTACCTACCATAGCAACTACATATATTTAGAACATGTTAGGTACAGTGTTAATGTTTATTTTTTAAAATATTTTTTATTTAAAAATATATTAAAACAATATATTTTTATATTTTTAAAAATTATTTTTTACATTAGCACATTAAAATGATATAAAAATATAAAAAAAAAATTTAAAATAAAGAAAAAATAATTTTTTATTTTTTAAATATATTTTTAAGATGCAAAAAATAAATAAATTCTTAGTAACATTAGTTACTGTTTTGAAACAGGAAAAACATAAACAATAAAATAAATATTTTATTTTTTAAAAATATAAAAATCTAATGTTTCATAAACAAATTTATTTTTATATATTTATTTCTATCTTTTTAACTTAATAAATTTTGATTTATATTATCTTTATCTCTTTTATCCCAAAATTACAAGGAAACAGTATCTTCAAAGAAGAATGATTCGCTCTACACTTCCAACTCACTATCAATCTTATCCTCTGATTCTCTTCCTTTTAACTTTTCTATAAAATGTTCATCCTCCTTCCTTTTATTTATAATTTTGTTTTATTATTTTATGGAAAAGGGTTCTAGAAGAAGAGCACGAGACGAGAGACACAAACTTGCTCCACTGACTCTGGTCAATTTCAGGACCCAGAAGATACAACAGGTAACTTCCCCTACCTTCCACGATTGAGATGATTTACGGTGCCCATATAATAATTTATCTTCCCCTACCTTCCACGATTGAGATGATTCACGGTGCCCATATAATAATTTATTTGTTCTTGTCAACAACAAGTCCACATAGCTACTAACACAATTGTTCCCCAATCCACTGTTCATGTTAGCTATCAGCAGCAGTGAAGAAAAAAAAAAGAGTATAATTTTTAAAGTAATGGGGATTTATAGTATTTCTTAGGTGACAAATATAAAATAGATAGAAACCTGTTTAATTAGAGTAATAAAAATAGAAATATCAATAAATTTATCTTTGAGATAATTTTAAAATAATTTTTTATATTTTTAAAATAAAAAATACATGGAAGCATGTATAAAATGGAACATGAATAAAATCTATTTTTAATATAATTTTAAAATGAATTTTTATGCTTTGAAAACAAGAAGTACATGAAGACATATCACATTTGTCTTTCCTATCTTAAAGTAATAATCAAACATTACCTTCCTTATAACAACTATTTTGTTAAACCTTCCACTAAACCAAAACAAGAATAAAGTAAAGTAATCTATTTCAATAAAACAAGGTTGTAAATTAAATATTTTTCACTAAGATAATATTATATGGTAAAAAAGATAGACATAAACATTTTTAAGATAAAAATAAATATACAAAATAATTTTTTCTTTAAAATAATTTTCATGTACCTTTTATCTTTATCATTTTTTTTATCTCGAAACAGCAATTAAATACTACCTAATTACATAATAATGATTTCATTAAACCTTAACTAAAAAAAAGGAGTAATTTGGAATTGTGTTTTTTTTTTTTACCACTTTAATTTCTAAAGACATGGAAACTTGTTACTATTATTAATTAAGAGAAACATGGGGTAGTTGCCTATGAACATGTAATTCAACTAGTATTTATATATCCCCCACATCCTATAAAAGATTTTGGATCATGAGTCTTTCTTTTGTAACCTAAACACGAGAGAGTAGTTGCAATTATTTATCAAACTTCACTATCAACGTAGTTTTCACAATCCAACCAACCTGCCTAGCAATATAAACACCATTCTTTATTTTTTTTCCAGAAACTCTTCAGGTAGCATGTCACTTAGCCGACCATGTTGATTTTACGGGGCTAGGGCTAGGGCTAGGGCTAGGGCTAGGTGGGTATACAGACCTTCCTACCCTGATTAAAGTTCTTGCTTCTAGAAAGAATTTAACGAGGGACTAAATAAATTAAAAGCCATAGCCAGAGATATGGGAAGAAACGAAAGAATCTTAGGGGTTGGTGACCCACCTCAATACCCTCCTCCTCCACAGCTTGCTTGCCTTGTGCCACCCTCTTCTGATATAAGAGAGCAAGTGGGCCTTTCTTTTTTATGCTCCTCTCATGCTAATGCCATTCTCTCATTTTCTTAATTTTCTTTTGTATTCTTATCTTATCTATGATTCTTTGGACTTCACCAAAAAACATCAATGTGCTGATTAACTATGTTTTTGTTATTAACATAGGACAGCATTCAGATTAGGCGTACCAAGAAAAGAGAAAGGTCATGTTTTGGCATATATATCTACTAATTATTAGTTTATTCGTTAGTGCTAGACATAGTGAGACCAATACGTTTTTTTTTGGGGGGAGCCATGCACCCTGGATTCCTCACCTGTAATATTATGCACTTACCTTTAGATTAGCCCTTTAGATTAGCCTAGCTGGAATATTTATTATGTAATTCATGCCCCATCCACTATTAAAAAATCGATGAAAATCAAAGAAATTACTAATAAAAAAAATTTATCAGTATTTTTCACCAACAAAAATAATTACATCTCCATTTCTGTTGGTATATACCAACAAAA